AGGTGCTGGCTTTGTTTTTGCCGTTGCCCCTACTTCTGCTGATGCCAATTTTTTTGCTGGCGGTCTTGCTTTTGGTGGTGCTCCTGCTTTTGGTCCTGCCCCTGGCTCGTCTGTTGATGCTGTTGCGCTGGCTTTTGTTTTTTTTGCTGGTGATGCTTTTGGATCATTGGTCCACTCTGGAGCGGGCACTGGTGGCCTGGCAAAAGCCGGAGTAGCAGAACTGGAGGATGCAGGATCACCACCCCCTCTTGTGGCGTCATCGACATCTGTCTCCGGGATCTCAAGCGGAGCAGTTCGTGCTCTTTTGGCATCTGGCAGCACCTCAAATGCTTTGCATTGAAGACGACACACACACACACACACTCAATTGAGGATGTCAATTGTGACTGAAATGTTATTATTTATTCTTGAAGCTGAAGCGAAAATGTAGTGTTGCTCCCAGCTGCTGCTGCTGCAGCAGTTCCTCTTGACTTCGTCTTCTGATTTCGCTTCTGAAGCTTCTGAAATGTCCTGGAAGGTAGGTCCACGGGATGTTCCTGCTTGTCCTTGACCATTCTTGTTTTCAAGTTCCTGAGTCAAAGTGGTACGTGTTGGCACTACAGGGCAGACTGCAAATCAAATCAATGCGGAATTCGAGTCCAGGCACATCTGAATGGAAGCCCAATCATTCTGATTTGCAAATTGGTCGGTCCATGTGGTCCAAGCATTTTGCAATGCTGCCCCCCATTGATGCGACGACCAACCAATGGACGGCAGGAGATGCTTCTGCTTCCTGATGCACACTTTGGCAGAACCATGGATTGCATTTAAATATTTACATATTACAACCTCAAAACAACATTCGAAAATCTGAAGCTGCTCAGCGACACGTCATGGCCATTGGCGAAGTCGATAATGTGCTGTTGATCGGCAGCGATGGCTCTGTAATCTTCCTTTCTGTGCTTCTGGACTAAAGTGTCCAACCATGCGACGCATTCGATGCCACAGACCTGCACTGACAGCTGATATACTTACAAAAACTAGACAATTGAGTGTCACCTGGACCAATGAGTCAGTTCAGCACAGCGACTTGGAAGAGAGCCATGACCAACGCAATCATGGCACACGTCCTGTGCCATCCCGCCGAACAGCAGATCCTGACAATTGAAGGACCACATAGGAGGGTTATAATTATCCTAGTCCCTGAACCTAAAAAAAACCTCCAAGACCTTCAGCATTCAAAGACTCGAGAAGCCTGAGCAACTTGTCGGGAAAATTGAGGATGAAGTGGAGCGTCTTGAGCGCTGCGGGATGACTATACACCTCGGTCATTAGGGTGAATTCTTATTAAAATTAAAATTAATTATTATACAACTCGATTCATGAAGCAACACCTGTTCGACCAGGCACCTGTTCCATGATATGCTGGTATAGGCCACATTCTCTGCCAAACCTTCCTCCTTGGGCCTCCCTTGGCTTCCATCCATGACTGTCACTGTCACTGCCCTCAATTGTCAATTGAGTGAAACTGAAATGAATGAAAAATGTACAAATGTCATGAAGCTTCGACACGTGCATTTGCACCTGCAAGCGAACCTCCCATTTGTTAGAAAAGTTACTTTCCTTGTCCAACCTCTCCAACAAGTCTGCCATCTGAGGTGATGGACGATTTCCATGGGCGGCAACCCCATAACCAACGATCACCACTCTCTTCGGCCAAACGTAGGTTTTGCCGCCCACCAAAACTGACCTCGAAGTGTTGGAGCAGAAAGCAGCTGTCGAAGAGCTCGGGTTGTCAATAGAGCTCACATCGTCATCAGTAGCATCAATAGCCGGTTCGTGGTCTCTTGTTTCTCTCGGGGTCCTTCCACTTGCGTCCCCAATCGTCCGAGTCGTCTTCTTCTTTGCCCCGCCCCAAGTCACCGGAACTTTTCGTTGAGGCGTCTGCGGCTTTCTTGCTGCCGTAGTTCCCGACATCGAATTGGCTGTATGCTATCCCCAAGCTTTGATTGTGCCTCGAATGAACACGGAATTGTAATGATGAAAGTTTAAGCGCCAAAAAAAAGGGCTGCATCAATCTTTGCCAAAGTGCTCTCTAACGTTCTTGTTACAGGCTGACAGAATCCAGGCTTCTGGTTTCTGGATGCCGTCTCTTCCCCGTTTGAAAGCTCTCCTCAAATGTTGTTGCATTGAAACAATGACATGTCAGGTAGCAAATTATTCTCAATTGGAAATTGTCTGAAATGTACTGCAGGTGTCACAAGATCAACAGCCTTTCTCGGGCAGAGCAAATAGAGCAAGTAGATTGCTTGCTGTGCTTTCCGGAGATCCTGGCCCTGCTCCTCGAGACACAATTCCTCAGGGAGATGCTGGAGGGCCACACTCGACATAGCACAACTTGAGCCAGAACTGCAGCATTAGGTTACAAGGGGCTCACAATCAATCACCAAGCAAGCTGACACACACACACACACACACACTCACTGAGCCTTCCGCGCAAATATCACTCACATGCCTTCTGAAACGACTTCACCTGGCAAAATGCAAATTTCATGCCAGCCCTGCCCCCCCCCCGGCTCTGTCAAAACATGCCAGGCAGACCACTTGAGCCAGAACTGCAGCATTAGGTTACAAGGGGCTCACAATCAATCACCAAGCAAGCTGACACACACACACACACACACACTCACTGAGCCTTCCGCGCAAATATCACTCACATGCCTTCTGAAACGACTTCACCTGGCAAAATGCAAATTTCATGCCAGCCCTGCCCCCCCCCCGGCTCTGTCAAAACATGCCAGGCAGACCTTGCCATTGATGCTACCACAATAGTTATACTACCGCAAATCATGCTACCACAATTAGCGCTACCACAATTGTTGCTACCACAATTGACAAGTTGATGCTACCAGAACTGATGCTACCAGAATTGATGCCACTGCAAAATCGAATCAACCAAGCCAAGCAATGCCATGCTGACTACCACAGTTGCTGCTACCAGAACTGATGGTATCAGAATTGATGCCACCGCAAAATCGAATCAGATGCCACCGCAACAATCGAAGCAATCAAGCCATGCAATGCCATGCTGACTACCACCATTGACATTGATTGATGCTACCAGAATTGATGCCACTGCAGCATCGAATCAACCAAGCCAAGCAATGCCATGCTGACTACCACAATTGATTGATGCTACCAGAATTGATGCCACTGCAGAATCGAATCAACCAAGCCAAGCAATGCCATGCCGACACAGTAACGGCCTCCCCAGCGTCTTTGCAAACACGAGTGTGCTCTGACAGTCATGCGGACTGGAGACTTCTTTAAATGCCACCCCCATTCGGCCAAGATGGGGTCACCCTGCTGAGTATGCGCCGTCTTTGCCCTATGCGGAGCGCTGAAATCCGATTGCCTTGCATACCGGCCCGCAAGAGGACAGGTCATGCTCGTCATCGAGTGCACCGGAATCGCTGCGCAACGCGCCGGTTACTGAAGACCTGTCAATGAGGCACAGCATAAGATGCCATGCGGGGCCATGCCGGCAAGCAGCAGTGATCGAAGTTAATATTTCGACCGTGGTGTGGGTACGTGGCATAGTATTTATTAATAGTAGCGAGGCCTTCCCTGCAATCTGTGTGCATTTCACCCCGCGGCGGACACACCACCTGGCTGGACAGGCGAGCAGCACACAGAGTAAATCCCCAGCGCCCGGCCAGCGACGCTGTCCCGCACGGATCAAGGACCCATTGCTCACGTGGTCCGAGCCCGACTGGAGCGGTCTCTAAGACCACTCTGAGCTTGGGCGTGCAGGATGGGTAGGGCGAGTCGAACCAAGCCAAGCAAGCCAAGCAAGCCAAGCAAGCCAACCAAGCAACCAAGCCAACCAAGCAGTGGCACGTGACAAAGGACCACGTTTCAGCTTCCAACACATCCGGCTTGGACAGAAGCGAACACCATCGCTCAATACATCCGGCTTGGACAAATGCAAAAATGTTTGGCAAAAAAGGGTTTCCTCACGCTGGCTTCCCAGTGTGCTTTAAAATGTTTTGGTCAACGGCCGTGCCCCCGGCACTGAAATTCCTAATAAAATACATAAATAAGCTAATACTACAACAGCTTGAAACCTTAAATCGGTATATTGAACTGCACTATTGAGGAAATTGGTTTTGGCCTTCAAACCCCCCTGATCCAGCCCCCAAGGATCCAACCCTCAAAACGAGTGTGTGGATCTACAACAAAGCGAAGACAACTTAACCTGACAGACTTTCCCGCACAATGCATGAGAGGTGCGACCGAAGCAGCGTACATGTATACCACTGCTTGGTATGGTGAAAAAGTCATGTCCGTGACGTGGTCGTCATCTGGCGCAGTGGATAAAATCAAGGGGCCTTCCACTCTATGCCTCCGCAGTGGATCTCCCAGGAGGGCACGTAGCCTGCAACTCGACAAGGCATTCCGACCGGTACAGCACACAGACCGAGAAAGTGCAAGCGGCAAGGAAACTTGAGTCAAGGCGCAACCGCTCAAGATCTGGCGCATTTCTCTAACTCGGCCTGTCATGGCAAGAACCATGCCAGCCAACTGTATCATGACATTTTCAACTAGGTCTCCGGCCAGTTTTGAGATTGGTCCTTAGATGGGCAAGTGCCTAACTGGTATGGGGCTCTGGCAGAAACCCTCAACAGTTCGAATCCTCATTGTAAGGACACCCTGCTATGCGAGAATCCCCCACATGCAAATCTCAGTTCTGAGGCAACCGGGGCTCTGGACGTTTTCAAGGAAGTCCACCTTATACGTAGCGCCTCTGCCTTATGTGGGAGGCGCGGATCAGAAGAGATCCCCCATCCATGTGGCCGTCTAAATGCTGCTCAAGACACCAAAGGAGAACCTCAGAAGCAGGGAACTCTGTTCTAATTCCCTTGCAGCAACCCTGAGAAAACCCAACTATTGAAACAGGCCTGCCGGGAGCTCAGTTAGGATAGTCTGTTGCTTCCGAAGTTAGGGCTTCCTTAAAGAGCTCAGCGACGGTCACGGTGGTTAAGTTTTTGTGAAACAGCCCATATTCCGTCTAGGATTTCCTGAAAAGGTCCACATTGCTTCCAAAGTTGCGCAGACGTCTCCGCTTGCTGTCCTTTGCTCTCGACTTGCAGCTGGTCTAGCAAACATTCATCCTGGCAGGAAAAAGACTGCAAAGATAAAAAAGATGTTTTTTTCTACCTAGCGGACCTAGCAAGGACGAAGCCCGCATTGCAGGGAGTCTTGATTGAACAGTTGAAAGAGCTAAGATTTCATAAGAAAGGGTTTAAGGCCTGGGGTTCCTGTCAGGGTCAAACACTGCTGCACCTACAGGGTTTCTGTAAGGGTTCTATACGGACCAGGTCCATAAGATCACGCAATTCTTGGGAATGGAATTGGATGGGGCCCGAACACACCTTGCCTCCGGCAGGTAGCGCTGCCAGCCATTCCGGTTTCTCCACTCCCAAACACTGGCCGCCGCCTGGATTCACTGGACGGTGGAGGCTCAAGTGACTTTCTGCTTTTGTAGCGACAATTACAATCACGGAAAGATGATGCCAGTTACAACGCCCTAAACCCTTTTGCAACAGGTTTCGCACTTCGCCTCGAGTCGGCTCCCACATCAGCTGTAGCAGCATGACAGCTCTAAAATCTAAACCCTTTTTGCAACAGGCCTTCCACTTCGCCCAGAGTTGGAGCAAGCAAAACCCCGAACCCTAAACCCTACATAAATGGTACAGCTGTTATACGATTATGGCAATTTTTATTATTATTTCGTATATTATAGTATATTATCAGTATTTTGCGGTATAATACGGTATGAATTATGAATAGTATATCATAGTAACAAGAATGGTATGAGCACGGCCTGGAGAGAGCTCGCCTGCAGCTCGTCTTCGGACTCCACTTTCCACCTCGAGACAGTGCCTCCATTGGCTTCCCAGAGATCCCATATATGCCTTTAATGAAGGAATGTAGAATGTAGACCTTATAAACTATATGTACAGATATACATATATATATATATATAGTACAGCAATATCCCTCAATTCAGGAATATAGCTGCCTGAAAAAATGATAGTAGGATCCATGGCTCGATGGATCGGTACCACAATCCTCACTGGCTGCCGGAGCAGCCTTGTTGAAGTCGAAGTCCCCTAGTTTTGCTGGCAGGGATACAGCATCTCAGCCTTTGAGAGGGTGCGGATCTCAATCTCATCAGGATCAGGACCGAATGGACAACTCCGAATGCTGCTAAGGTGGGAGGGACAGAACGATGACTACGTCTTGTTGTGACCACATCGTCGGGTCGACAAAGCAAGCAGTGAATGGGCCGAGTGGCTTCCACTGGCCAGCATAGACGCAGCCTTTCCTCGAATCAAAGGACTGTCGTTCGTCTGCAAGGGACCGAAAAAACACATGCTGAAATCAGGAGAGGAAGCTGTTACTCTGCCTACATGGTCCTTGTCTGTACGTAAACATCAAGAAAATTCCTCGCACGTCCTATCGCATTGATGAAGCCTCATATCATGCGCACGAGACGAGGTTGAAGGCAAGCGCTGTGGTGTCTTCTCTGTGTTTGCCGCAATCCGGCCCCAAGTCATGATCCAGCGTGCTCGCGTGACAAAGCTTTAGCTTTTGTGGGGCAGCGCCGCCGCCGAAGACCAACCCTACAAAGAGTCTGCAAAGCATCATTGGGTGCAGGTGCTGATTTGATGCTCTTTCCCACTAGTCGTGTTCCAGGATTTCTCTCATGTTTCGTATTTGCTCTAGTCTCTTTCGAGCGGTCGCAAATGCTGCAATCAGGGTGGTTTTTGCTCCTGCATAAGGGCGAGGGCATTACATGTGGGCGAAAGAGGGGAGGTAAGCTGATTGTGGTGGGGGGCATGCCATTCACGTTTGCACAATGGCTTGCACGAATTTCATATCAAAGAAAACTAATTATGCCGGGGTTCGACCCCTTGGTCTCGTTGGGACCGGCGAAGTCCAGGATGTCCTTCGGGCCAAGTGGTGGAAAGCTCTAGGCTGTCGCACTGACCGCACACCCTCTGCTGTTACTTCAGTGGTCGTGATCGTGACAGCGCTACACTACTAGCACTAAAGGCGATAAGATGAGATCAGAAGACGCATCCCAATTCCCGAAGCCTTGTCTCCCTCTCTTGTCAGGCCCGAAACCTCTCGGATACAGCCCCTCCTGCGGCTGCGGCTGGGTAACATCCAGAACTCTGACCTCGCTGCGAGCTAAGGTTCTCAGGGTTTGGGATTGAAAGGTCCTTTGGGTCTGCATGCCTCCGAACCACGGTGTCGTTCGACTGTCACAGCGTTGGGGTTTGGAGAAAGAGAAGTTACCTTCGGGTTTTCCTAGTTAACCTCAACTCCTCAACCTCGTGGGGAGCTTCATACAGCTTTAGCCTGCAAACAAGAGATGGCCAAGGAGCCAGGAGTCCGGGGAAGTTCAGCTCCAGCACTTCTTTGAGGATGGGCAAGTGCTCCGAGGACCTTGGAGATCCAAACAAGACATGGAAGTTTCCGAAATCAGGGGTTCCTTATTTTGGAGTCCTTGTATATAATAAAATCCTACTATTTCGACTCGCACACTCGCTCTCGCAGGCACGGCTCCAGGGTCTCCACTGCTACCGTTACTATTTAGGGTGCTATATTAGGGTCCCCAATTTCGGAAACTCTCACATGTATAATTCACGTAGACTTCAACTTCACCCCGGAATACGTGGGAAAGGCTCCTTTTGGCCGCTGCGCTCTGCTGTCGGCGGCAAGAGCATTGCAAAACAAGCCAGCTCCAGCCGCAAAGCGGCGGAAGCAGTGCAAAGACCTACAAGAACAGGCAGACTCACGTAAACAGGTGCAGAGTCCGCCCGTATGTCTTTAGATCCCACTCACACTTCGGATTCGGGACATGCTTCAGTCCCCGTTCAGCGCTGTATGTGGCCCAGCCTGCATCCGGAAGCAAAGCTTGCACTCTGGATGCCGGTCGCTGCGGCTGTGCAAAGCTATCGGAGTCAGTACCCATCACCCGTGGCTGCTTCAGGCTGCTGCAAGATCGCTACAATCGCTACAATGGGGTGCAACAAGGCGAAGACAGCTTAGTCTCAAAATGCATATGTCAGTGTGTCTGCGTGGTGGTGCCCATCTCTGTTACCGTCTGTCCGCCGTGCCTGCATTGTACCTTGCTGTGTTGTGCTGAGCTGTGCCTCTCTGTCTGGTCAAGACGATCTATGCAAGGCTTCCGCGCGACACATTTTCAGACGCTTCTGGCCGCAGTCGATGACTAGCTGACCAGCTGCTAGCTTGTCAGGTCAGCCACTTGTCCACATCGAAGTATCCGAATGGGCGTTACCGGCCAGTCGGGGTACTCGGTCTCCACGGCCTCCATCGCATCAAGGACCGCATGCCCAGATGACACTTCCCCGAAAACCACATGCTTCCCATCGAACTCTGGGAGTGACCGCAGGGTGAAGAAGAAGCGCGAGCCGTTCGTGTCCGGGCCCCGGTTGGACATAGACAGCAGCCCCCTTCTTTGATGTGCATCCGCGAAGGCTTCGTCTGCAAAGGTTGGACCTTGGTGAACTGCTGCATATTTGGACTTTTGTCCCACAGACACCTCTCTGTCACACTGACATAAGCTGGAAGTCTACATGCACATAAGGCAAAATGGGAAAACTCAGGCTTGGTCCGTAAATGGACTGGCCGCCCATGCCGTTGCTCTTCTCGATGTCGCCCGCCTCGATAAGGCATCCTGGCACCACCTTTCGAGCCGTGCGATCAAACAAAGAAGATCCGTAAAGTTATCCACGTCGTGTGATTGCTCTCTCCTTCCCTACTTTATTAAAAAAGGGGGCAAGGATGGGATCAATGCATCTGCGACCCTAGACCTTGTGGATGATCGAGTGGCGATAGTGCAGGCGCCGCTTTTCGGTGCTGAGCTCCCCAGTGCAAAGCTTCAGGAAATTCTCGGCCGTCCGCGGCACGGTGTCTTTGTAAAGGATAATCTCCACCCTGCCAGCAGGCTTGGAACCGATCTGTATCTCCATCCAAACCTTGGGCAAAGAAGACAAAGCTTCCGAGGTGCGCTGTCGGGAGGATTGCTCCGGGGCCTTTCCGAAGAGGCCTCCGAAAGCTTGCTTCTGCCATGCTTGTGCCTGCTGCATCCGTGTGCGGCAGAGCTCCAGCTTCTCACGGACCTCACGGTTCTGCGGCTCGAGCTGTAGGGCCGCTTGCAAGTCATCCCGGGCTTCGGTAAGGGAGCCTCGTGCCAGCTGTGCCAAGGCACGGCGAAACAGCGCCTTGCACGAAGGTTCCAAGTCCAGGGCATCGGTGGCATGCTGAGCCGCTGCGGAATAATCCTCTAATTTCAGACAGCATTGGGAGAGGTTCAGTAGTACGGCCACACGGAGCTGACTGCTCTCTCGGAGTAAATCCAGACTTTCTTGGCCCTGCATCGCCGGGAGGGTCGAAGACTGGAGGAGCATCAAAGACTCCTGTGCTCTTGTTAAGGGACTCATACAGGAGCCATGTTCTTTACTATTTTTGGCAGCACAATCACTAGTAAAGAATATAGATCCCCATAATTTAATATATAATGGTATAACTTAACTTACATTCCTTAAAAAGAGCCCAGACTCCTTCTTTACTATACTAAAGATCCCTATAATCATGGCAGCTTAACTTACACTCCTTAACAAGAGCCCAGACTCCTTGTAAGCCTTCGACGCCGCCGAGTACTCCCCGGCCTTGAACAGTCCATTGCCACGAACTTTGGCCTCCTGCGCCCGACGGAGCCGCTGCTCCTCACCCAAGAGCTTCCTGGGCTCTTCTTAAGGGAGTTATATTCAAGTAAAGTTACCATTCTTATAAGGAATCTATATGGTAAATAATATGGTTCCTACAGTGGCTTGCGGCTTAACTTAATAAAGAAACCATACTATATATATATATAAATATATATACTATAGATCCCTAGCATGGTAGCTTAAAATAAGTTCTTTAACAAGAGCCCAGCTTCTTGGTGCTCCCAGGCCCAGATCTCTCCGAGCCGCTCTGCTCCTTTGGGGCCTGGGCCTCAGCCTTCTCCGGAAAGAGGTGGATGGTAAACTCCAGAGTCGCCGAAGCTGGGATCTCCTAGCAGAGAGAGAGAGGGAGAGAGCACCGAAGAAACGGAGAAGGTCTAAAGCCCTAAGCCTAGGGCTCTTTAAAGCCGATGCGCCTTCCCCCGAAACTTGCAGCTACAAGCCTGGGGCCTACAATATCCCTGCAGCGGTTGTGTTCACTTCTGCTCCTCTCCAGCCCCTTCCTCACCGAAGGCGAGGCTGGGGTGGACGGTGAAGACGCTGCGCTCACCCGGCTTCATTGTGGCAACCCCCAGGTCCCAGGCCTCCAGCACCTCGGCATTAGAGTCTCTACAGGTCACCGCAAGATGGGAGTTTCCGAAAATTAGGGGCGGCACCTTATTTTGGGGTCCGTATAATAAGGATACTACTATTTGCGGTACTATTGGGGTCCCCTATTTTCGGAAACACCCAGATGGGATGCCGTGTCTTGTTTGGGGACGACTGCACAGGGGGCCTGGTCTTCCCCAAGGACGAACTCGAAAGCGTCCTCCGCCATGGATTCCACGCACTTCCCCTGATGCCGCGTCTCGTATCGCACCTGGACGCGGTCGCCCTTTTGGGGTGAAGGCCCCGCGCCCTCCAACTCCACTCTTTTGAGCAGCCTTCCATCTCCGAGCAGATCGCAAGAGCCGCCCATGATGGAACCAGCTGGCGAACTAAACCAAGCTGTGTTGCTGCGCTTGTCAGGCGGGGTGATGAAGCAAGGAGGGACCTTATCTTCCGTACAGTACCATGAAGTGTTGTTGTCGCCGTTCGTTCGTCTGCCTCCAGTAGTCTCTAAGAGTGTCAAACCTCTCCCGGAGTCAAATCACGGAATTATAGTGATGTTGGCGAGTGCGTGCTCGGGGCGATGCTGTGGTGCAGTGGACTTCTCCTCTGATCAAGAGTCAAGCTACGACTACAAGCATGGAGCATGTGCGTGCATGCCTGCACGCGGCTCTGTATGATCTATGTGTGTGTGTGTCATGCATCTCATGAGTCTTCTTGGTCTTATGTCTGTGATGAACTTGTTATATACCGTGCCATGCTCCTAAACTTAAACTTCACTGGACATTGATTTTTTCCGTGGAGCTTCGCGCAGCAATGAAAACCATGCTGTTCCGGGTAGGCCTGATGGTCCCAGTAGGTCCCAGTCAGTAGCGTTAAGGCATGAAATCGGCTGCCATGGTGCTATGCATGCTCAAGGGAACAGCTTGCACGCCAGACACAATAATCTGTCACACGGCTCATACTATGTGCCTGTCAGACTCGCACAGCGGCCCATGCCGCACCAATGGCGCCTTTCTCTGTCCGTGTTGGTCTGCGTCCAGAAATCCTCTTCCTTCTCTTTGCTGTACGTCCTATTGCTGGCTTCTATGTCACTGTGTTCAGGGCACAGGACCCTCAGACTTTCAGTGCTGTAAACGTATGCTTTGAGTCTCAGGCGCGCTCAGGGCAGGCAAGGCTTCACGACTAAACTTCCACAAGCTCTTGTCTTGAGGTAAGCCCAGTTTCAGTAGATCCTAGCTAGCATCATGATTCTGCTGGGACCTGCGAGAAGCTGCGAGCCAGCGGCCGCCCGGCAATAGCGTAGAGAACTGTGACGGATTCAGACTGCATGACAATTATACATTCGCATTCGTCGTAAAATAACCACCAAGCGTATTCCAACGGACTTTGCGTGCGGTCCCTGTCCATATCACCCGCATGTTCAGGGGTAAGGATCAGGCGGACGATAGGTGCCGGAGTCATTGTCCAGGAAAAGGATTAGCGCGCGTTCTGGCGTCTCGCAGATGCGGAATGTTCCCGCCATGCGAACCTTTCGAGGGAAGCATGTTCAGTAAACTTCTTCGCAAACTTCTGAAGGGGATAATTTGCAAACGCGGAGATTGATTGATCCGTGCATGGCCGTGCAACCAATGTGGCCTCCGGAGATGCATTTGCATGCACAGCATGCTTGCCTTGAATGTCAGTTCAACAGAGCACATGCAGCATCATCAAAAAAATCCGTGCCGAGATGCTGAAGAAGTCTTTTGCGATGTTTGCACCTGTCTCCTCATCGCTTTGACAGGAGATGGGCAGATAGAACTCATCCTCACTTGCAACTTGCAGCCAGGTGTCTGAAAAGAACATCCCTTCGTCCAGCACCACATATGTGTATACGCGCCTGATGTCGAGCCAAACCAACCCATGGAAGTTCAGTAAAACGGGCAGCGTGTTGGGTATCGAGCCTCCGTCCCTTGCGAACTCCATTCCCCAGCAGTGACAAAAAGTCATTACCTGGAGCACGCGCTGCAACTGTGTGGTGGAAAGCAACATTTTCCTACGAAGACATCAGCAGAACCGCAGAATTCAGTGTGGAGCAAAACTACTTGTACCACCGAAATGGCCTCTTCCCAGCGTTGCTCTCTCATTGCGCTTCCCGCCCCAGTAAGTGAAATGCGGACAAACTCCATCGCCTCAACATGTCTTCGGCTTTGGAACGGCCCAACATCATTGAAGTGCTTATGCATGGAAGTGCTTCTAACGTCCAGTGCTGCTGCGCAGCTGTAAAGTGATGCGTGCTCAGCCTGCACCACCTGACAGATGGCTAAATGCCAACTCCGTTAAGGGCAAACATGTGCCCCATTGCCTTCTTCAGCGGATCCTTGAACAGCTTCTTGTGCTCCCTGAGGCTGGGGCTGCGGGCAGGTCCGTCTCCCCAAGATCAGGGAGGCCGATCTACAGGAATATTCAAAAGCTGCTGTCCTGACGCACCAGCAACACTCGGATAGCTCGCATAACCATACGACCTGTTCCTCTCTTTATTCTCTTTTGTGACTGTTTGCGTCGCGGCAGGAAGTGCGGTCGGCACAGGGCCAATGGTGCACCACTTACTTGCAGATTCCACAAGAGTCTAGCTTTCTAATGGCCCGGTGCTTCAGCGAAACGACTGCCATGCCACAAGCTTCTCATATCTTGAAAAAGTAGCACGGAGGCTGCGATGGACTGCGCTCCGAAACAACTTCAAGCAGCTGGTTTGTGCCCAAGCTGGGAAATCCTCGTCAAATGCTCAGAAAATGTGTGGACACGCACGATTGCACATGTGTGCGCTTCCAAACATGTCCTGAGAATGTCAACTCTGTGAGGACTGCCTTCTGCAAGTGCGAATGTGATGCGTGAAGCTCTGGTGAAGCTCGGTGAGCCGCGCCACGCTCGCATGCCTTGCCCAGGCAATATGTTGAAAGTGCTCTGCTTCGCGTTAGGGTCGTCTGCAGCGTGCGCGTCGCCAGCTCTTCGATTAAGTTGTAGCCGAATGCCGACAGGACTCCACCGCCGTCGATGTCGTTGCGTAGACAGGCCCAGGCTGCAATCGAATGTTGGATGGCAATCAGGCTGGGTTTGTTGCTCGGCTTCAGAGCCTCCTGCTCCTGCACTGGGTCCACGAAGTCCGGGTAAGAAAGGACACGTCCAAGCTCGGCTAGGGACTCCTGCAGGTTCTTGGCATCAGGCGATATCTTTGGGATGCTGGAAGTCGCGCCGCCTGGCAACTTCGCTTCGGAGGGTAGCCTTGCCTTCGACGGGCATTGTTGACGTTGAAGAGCACTTCCATCAAGCTCCGGAAGAAATTCGGCGCGGTGAGGTCCACGAGAAGGCCCAGGTTCATGAGGACGACCTGCATGTCGTCCTCTTCAACATTCCCACCCGCATTCCGAGCGAACTTCTCCCAGCTGTGATAGTTCTTCATCATCCCGGCCACGACAACGGAAGGTGCAAGCAGTGTAAGCCTTGCGGCCGCACAGGTGCAGTCTGTTGTCGTGGCCGGGATGATGAAGAACCATCACAGCTGGGACAAACAATCAAGAAGCCCGAATCACGCTTGTCTGGCACCTTGTAGTAAGCATTCCGAAGTTGACTGAGCCGTGTGTCGCTATTGACGATGACCGCGAAGTAGTCCGTGAAGACTTGCGATTGCGAAACGACCCACAGCTTGCCACATCACCCTGTCTCGCATCAGCAGCTTGGAGTCCTTGAAAGCCGACCAACCGTCACGTCCGCCGCCAGCTGCGCAAGCTGCATCCACGCCTCGTGAGCATGAACAACAGCCGTCTGTCCAGCTTGCAAACCTTAATGCGGTCGTCGTGCACCACCATTAGCAAGCACTCGCTTGTGCTGCAGGCTTTTCTGCGATGAAGCGCGATGCTCAGCTGGGGCGCTGACTTTTAGCGTGCATCTGTGCATTGCGAAGCAGGTTCACTGCAACTAGGCTCAGCCTACATCATGAGCAAGTGGGTCACTATACATTTGTACCAAAGTGTCATTGAAGCTCTCTTGTGTGGGGATCTCTTGCGTCAGATCTGATATGAAAGCCCAATGTTATCAACCCCCTTAGCCGGATCCAACAGGCTGCAGCTTCGAAGGCTGAACAGTGACTGAGGCCTCAACCTCTACCTCTTCCAGGCATATCTGTGCGGATCTGATGACTTCGGAACTGCTGTGACTGGGAACGCGGCTCATCCCAGTTGGAGTTGAACATGTCGCCGAACTTCTCCGAGGTACTGAAGGCCCGCTTAGAGTGTGTGGGCAAGAAGCAAAGCTGTGAAGGAACCCATCTTGGCCAAGTGGCGCCCACAGCACAACGTGGTACGTCTTGAAGATGTCCAGCGCTTCAAAGTCCTTCGCGTTGTATCCCCAGCACAACAACATTACTACCTGGAACTACCTCGCAACAGGAAAGCGATTTCAAAGTGTTGCTAGTCGTAGCACGAGATGCTGCAACGGCTGCCACGGCCCCCATCAGTCCATTGCTGTGGACTTTCCTGGGTAAGACACGCTCAACTTCAACAAGTTTCTTCTCAAGTAATCGCCACTACTATTTGCGGGGGGGCGGGGGGTCCTTATATCAGCCATCCTCGAGCTGGTTCGAACAGCTACCGTAGCTTCTCATCTGGCTGCAACCCTCTCTGAAAATGAACGCTGCAACTCAGCGTCACCAAAGCAGGCTGCAGGAGCTTCGCAGGACCCATCGGCGATACCTCCTCGGAATCTGAAGGGAAAAAACGTGTTCAACAAATCTCTCGGTCAAACGGCATCCGTATCCTTTGCCAGGAGGTCGACCGCCAGCTCACCAGCCTCTCAGGACAATGGTGGATCTGAGATGCTGAGATTCGGGGGTCCGTTATCTACGGCACCAGCAACCCCGCTCGCCCCCCCCAATTCCTTACAAAACAAACAACCTCCTGCAAGCCGGGCAGCAAAGCCAGTATTGTGAGAGAAAGCCAAAATGCCGGTGGGGGCCGATGATATTGATGGTTGGGCAAGGCTGTTGCGATTTGTTGGGCGAACAGAAGTCATTGGAGGATGGTCTCCGCGAAGCAACTTTTGCGTCGGTCGCCATCATCCTTCTCATCGTCGTCATCGGTGTTGTCATTCTTGTCACCATCATCATCACCATCATCTTGATCGTTATCATCGTCGCCGTCATCATTTGCATAAACGTCGTTCGCATCATCTTCATCAGCATCTTGAGCGGCGGTGGGCTTCGTGCTGAAATCAAGGCTCCAATATTTCGGGGTCGGTGCTATCAACTGCGGTCCCCGATCTTCTGAAACCCGCATGCGGAGACAGCAGCGGTCCTTCTCAGTCCCACGGCGGAAGACCTCAGAGGCAGCCATCCTAAACACACTGACACCCAAAGAAACCTGAAAACACTGAATCCTGCACCTCTAAACCCCGGCTCTTAGCCCCTCGCCTGTAGAGACCCACGGAAGTGCGCCTCCAGCTCACAGGGCTGAGACCAAGAGGCCAGGCAGCATGCCAGAGTTTACTATTTGTGTGTACATCTACTATGCAATACTACACAGGGTAGTATAAGAAAATGGAAAAGTAACAAGAATAACAATCGTAACAATACTAACAACAAGACTTTTTCCTATCTATCTATCTATACATATACATACATATATGTATATATATATATATATATATGTAGATGTGTATTTGAACCGGGTCGCAGTCGAACCGAGCTCACGACCTCCGGATGTCACAAGATGCACGACTCTCGGTACCCCGTCAAAGATGCAGCGAAGGCACCAGGCGTGCCAAAGCAGAGACATTCACGTGCGCAGTTCCAACCTTTGAGTCCTGAAGCCATCATAGTGAAGCATGTTTTATATTTTATATACTGTGTATATATATATATGTATGCATGTATGTGTGTGTATATATGTATATAGGTTGATAGATACATGGGTAGATAAATAGATAGAGAGATTGGTTGATTGCTTGTATACATAGGAGATCGTCTTAGTATTCCGGTACAGTTCGGATGGCTTGATTTGCCTTCTCGTCCAGACATCCCAACAAGGCGGGCTTGCCTACTGGGTCAAGACCCGTCCTCCGACCAAAGCGCGGAGCCCTTCTCTCGGATGGTGATTTCCAGAAAGTCTTCTGCATCCTCGTCTTTGCAGTTCCATCAGCTGGAAGAGGGCAAAAAGAGCACCAGAGCCATGCATCCGAGTCTCCCAAGTCACAGTCACTGATCCCTCCGCCGCCCCCCAGGCCTCGGCAGGGGACGTTCAAAGGAACCCGACTTCTACTGAGGCCGACATGCTGACATGTCTCCGAAAAACAACAACTCAATGCGACCTTGTTGGTATGTAGCCCTGATCTAGGGAGCTCGTGTTGTAGAGTGACAAGAAAAAGAACCAAGCGATACTACCTTTGGAGCGTGGCATGAAGCAAGGTACTACATAGTACTCGTTGACGTCTGGAGGAGACGTCTGCGTCCGAGTCTCAGGGTGCGAACCTGCCGAGCCAACGCCAGATCTTTCGATCTTATCGCCGAGACGGACCACCTGCGCAAGCGATGCGTCTTACAGTTCTGCATGCCCTGGCTGCAGTAACTTTCGCGCATCCATCGGGACCCCAATATGCCGTCCAAACTCAGCTTCACCCACCTAAACCGAAGGTCTCGAGTCTCCAAAACTGGGCCGAGGTGCGCAGTATGGGTTCTTGCAATCGGCCAGGCCCTTGGCCTGAAAAACAAAGGAAACATGAAAGGTGCCTAGAAGCAATTACGTAGTACTAGTAAATACTCTTGCTATGAGTCTTCTTAGTAGTTAACTTAGAATTTGCACTACGATTTTTCGTAGCCGGTGGTATTCTATGTTGAGCCACTACTTTGCGATGCTGCACAAATACTTGTTGATGTCAGCGTCAGGTCCTCCAGAATCTGCAATCGGATGACGGCACTTGGTGTCCTCATGTTTCGCGACAGCCCCACTCACACAAGGCAGCCCTCAAGTTAGAACGAAGGCTATACCTAAGCTACCAAGCGACGCAGAGGCCACATCCATGTCAAGGCAGATGCAATTTCAGCATCCATTGCAAACGGCGCATGAACCTAAACATCCTTGTTGCGTTTTGTGGCGGCTCATGAACCGCCTATCAAGTAAACTGAACTCGGAGTTACGAAGCTCAGTTGCATGGGTAGCGAAAGTCTTTAGCGAGATGCTGCTCTGGATGCTGCTTTTTTGCCAGAGCTTGTCATCCGATGACTCTTAGAGCATTGAGCCAGGCTACAGCTATGGTAAGGCAGGGCTCGGACAGATTCCGCAGCACCACAAAAAGAAAGGATCTCTCAACTTGTGCAGTGTAGGGCCACCACGCGGGGAGGCAGACCTATATCACTCCAAGGAAGACATTGAATGATCCTTGACGCCTAGTTACGCTGCGTCGGCCTGGATGCTTCTTTCCGCTTGGATGCAGAGCCTGAGATGAGATGTGTCAGTTGCGGTTCGGCCCATCTCGAAGCCCTCGTAGGTGCCGAACGTTTCCGCGACGCTCGCCTTCGACAGGACCACATTTTTTTGCAGCCGGTCCACATGTTACCAGGAACCCTTGCCCACTTTATCGGAGGGAGATGGCTCAAGGTATCACTAACTTACAAGACTCAGCAAGCTTGACATGCCGAACACGTTGACATTGTATTTTTCGCCCAAGTCAGAGTGCTGAGTATACCTTCTCGCTCGCATGCTAGCACACGCCGTTCTACTTACCTCTAACTTGTGAGAATGTGTATCTTCCTTCCTCTTGCTGGCTCACTCCTTCGCACAGCTTACAACTCTAGTCCGAAAAGCGAACGTTATCCTAAATGCCATGCAGACATGCCACAATAGAAGCTGCTAGTGACTTGGCTCCTGCACCTTTCTGCACAAAGCAACATCTGGGCCAATCATACACACAACCGAACCTCAGTTCTGCATAGAGCCCCTTGCCTAGCTTCGGGGACGTACCGGGGAACACGAGAGTCAGTGCACAGTACAAGTGGAGTCTTGATTTAGGCGAGCACGGGGTGATACTATGATAATCTGAGATGAAACTCTAAGAGACATAGTGGTATATTCCAAATCCACCAGCCCGAACTCGTGGAAGCTATCACGGCATCTAAAACCGTGTGATTTGAAGCAAGCTCGTGATATTGAAACATGTATTTGTGTGTGCACATATATATATATATATATATATATATATATAATATACATACACATTTATATTTGTGTGATTAATGTGTGTATGCATATGTATATATATATATGGATGGTATAATCTATTCTATTATGTTACATTTCGTTATATTTTGACAACAAAGCTTTCACGTGGCAGTCAGAAATCCCTGACCAGTACGGACTTCTTTTCCAACTGCCTTTGCAACGGTGGCGTAGTCTGCGATATTCGGGGTTCCTTCGAGGTCCGATCGGTGTTCCGCATTTCGTACAGAAATGCCTTTCACCGTCTAGAGGACCGACCGATTTCTCTCGCAGACATCGAAAGCACGGGAAAATCACATATGTAACGTGAACTAGGGAAGGGAGGGTGGGAGAAGAACACTTTTCAAGATCGGATCTCATACCAAAATGGCCACGGACATGCACATGGTCGCGTTGATCGACATCCGCAAATCCTCGTGTGTCGATCGGTGTAAGCAAGAAAGGCAAGAGTTGTCACTTCGCACAACCAAGTATTACAGTGTATTATATTTGTATGTATGTAGGTATGTATGTATGTATGTACGTAGGTATGTATGTATGTATGTATGTAGGTATGTATTTGTGTGTACATGTATGTATGTAGTATGTACATATATACATATATGTTGCATGTGTGCGTGTGTGTGTGTGCGCGCGCTAGAGCATTGTAAGCATAAGGCAATTTATCCTGGGCTGCCGGTGCCTCTTCCTGTTCGATGCGGATTCGGATCTTCTACGCCTCTCCCGAGAATGCTCAAGGCACCACTTCGAAAGATTCCAGTTCCTGCCTTCCGTACCCTCTGTGGCGGCATAATGTGCTACAGCTACTGTATGAACTTGATTCTACGGAACATGCTGAGACAGGCGGGAGGAGGGGAGTGGAGGGGAGCACGATGGAGCTGGCCTGGAGTTGGATGCGGCCTCGGTTACAGGGGCATTTTGTCCTTGTTCCGATTTCTTTTCGTGCCGAATGGATTGCACATGTATTTTGTCTGCAGGATCAAGACGTCCTCATCACTCTGAGATTCCCTCACATGCGAAGATCCTTTGTGGCACAAAGGGATGTCAAAGTACTCTCTAAGGCCCAAGCTTTCCGCCGTCCGCTCCTTCCACCAGACAAACCCAACACATGATGCGCAGGGCATCGCCCATGTGCAAACAGCATAGGCAATGCCCGTACCGTATCGGTGTAACACGCAGAGAAGTGGGATCTATTCTGTTCGCCCTGTCCCTAGTGATTGATGATGAATGTCACCGCAATTATGGCGAAAGGTTGGAATCGTAATTGAAAAGTCGTTGGCGTGACCGCCTCCTTGCTGCACCTATTGCAAGTATCAAGCCCGACGGTCTTTTTTACCTCAGCTTTTCAGGAATCGCTCCCATGACTTTCGGCGCGCGGTCCTGCCCAAGGGCGGGAGTGTCAGGGGGTAAGGCCGGCAGGCTTCGCAAATCACCGACGAACCGTGAAGCAGAAAAGCAAAGAGGCCTTCGGAACTGGGCTGAGTCGGGCTGCGTGAGCCAGAGCAAAGGCGTTGTCGGCATGGACATGGAGAAGACTTCCTGAAACATCGCTAAATGAGCAATGCTTAAACTGGCATTGGGACTGATGCTACGTCTGAGACGAGATTCGTACTTCTCTGGCTGGTTGAAATCACCTCGCACCTTGGCACTTGAACAGGCACACAACATATGCCGCGCAGGAGACCCCTTGGTATTTTGCCCTTTGACTGCGTGCCGCGGGGCGAATTGAGCATTGTGCCCTTCAGTGCCAGCTTCTTGGGTGAGCTCGCCTCATCAGCGTGCGGCCAAAGAGACAAGTAAGAACATTGTTCCTAAGGTCCTATAACCCTACAGAACAGATCGCTAAAGCCTTCACCCGAATGCTGGAGGAACTGCCAGGGACCTGGCCTAAGTGGATGCACTCCAGCCTCTCAGACGACCGGATGCAGTCGTCATGGCAGTTCTCAGCTTGCGTCTGCTGCAGTTCCGTGCGCACACCCAGCAAGGATTGCAAAATTAGCTTTTTGGAATGGGCGCAGTTCTAGAATCCGAGAGACTCCAGGGCACTGCCCCTTCTTCGGCTGCGTCAGTTCTTCCTTGGATGGTAACACCATGAGAGCAGTGCCACCTGCTGCCTCTGATTTCAAAAGCATTTATCCGCTAGGTTGCCTCTTGATGATCGACGTGCAGACACCTTTCGTCAGCACCCATGCAGGCATGAGTGCCGCACCTGGGTGTTTCGGGACAACTTCAACAGGGGCCAGTGCCAGGCTCCATCTTCTGGCAGCTTAGGCAGAAACATTCCGTGGTGCTGATTGACAAGCTCAGACGGAGCCATTGCCTTCACATCTTCACCTAAGTCTAAGTCGGCTTAACCTCCCAACAGCAAACGAATGGTATACATCACATGCACGGATAAAGATCCTGTTGGCCTGTTGGCAAGGCAGGCTTCGTTTGCCAAAGAACTCAACACCGAAGACAGTGCGGAAGAGCGGCACAACATCTGCTTTCCATCGTTGACCATGCCTCGCATGTCGACATGACGATCACGATTCTGCTTATTCCTAAACTCGCGACATTCCGAAGACATGTGCCACTACACTGCAAGGCCGTTGTCTCAGCCATGCGATGAAGTCAAGGAGCAGCACTTGTGCCACCTCAGCGCTCCAACATACCCTCTCGTGACTCAGCACTGGCAAAAGCAGCAGCGACTATGCCAGAACACGGTGGCCGACTCTCAGTGGCTCAGTCAAAGGGCCCTGAACATACCTACATATATGTATACATATATAATTACGCTTCTGTTTATCTTTACAGAAATCCCCATGATGTTGTGTACTCTGTATTTATAACCATGCTTTACATACATATACCTATGTATGTCGATGCGCATATATATATATATATATATACAGCCACACGATTCTTATCTACTGTTTTTGTTAAGGCTTGTCAAGCAGCTCCTCGTTGGGGAAGGTCAGAGTTTCCAGGCGCGCACGCCTTCCGAGGACACCGTAGCGCTTGCGACTCCCGGTGACCTTGGCAAAGGCTCGACCATGGTATTCTATATAGTGATATTAAACTTTACTATACTCTACCATGTATCATGGCATAATCTGCTATCATACACTACCAGTTGAATGTGTTGCAGGAGAGCACCTGAAGAGCTTCAAAGCGGCTCAACAGCTCAAGGAGAGTGTCAAGGCTTCCACGCCCCCTCAAGACTTCGTACACAAGGTCTTAACCGGGGTTTCAAGTTTCAAGTTGGGAACTTTGGCAAGGATAAGCCATTTCCACACCTGCAGGCTCTCCTCCGATAGCTGCCTTCTTTTGACCCGGAGCAGATGCGAGAGCTTCTCTGCATCGGGGGCATCATTAACGAGGCACTTTGGCACGACGTTGTATCATGCTTTCGCCTTTTCCTGTGGCTTCTCAACCAGCTTCCAGGAAGGGTAGACTTTGAGGGGCGTGGGACAGAACTTGCCTTCATAGGGCGCTTTTAATGCCAATCGGCCACCGCTTTGGAGGCCCCAGGCCCACATCTCACCCGAATCGGTAAAAGCCAGGGAATGGGCGTGGCCACACGTCACGGCCAGAAGCTCGGGCTTCCCGGCACCCCAACCTTTGCAGGAAATCAGTGTTGGGCCAACTTGATCGGGAGATCCTTTTCCCAAGCCAAGTTGACCTTTGCTGTTATCACCCCAACCCCACAAGCTGCCTTGGGAAGTGATGCAAAGAGTGTGGTTACTCCCTGCTGCAACAGACAGTAATTCAGCACCCTCTTCGATCTTCTTGAACAGAAGGGGTGACTTTATGTGATCCTCTTCGCAGACTGTATAGTCCCGACCAAAGACCCACAACATCGATCGCTCATCCAGCGCGCAGGTGTGGAAAGACCCGCAGCTCACATGCGCAAACCGGGGGCACTCCACTGATGTGCCCAAATCGGGCTGGACGGTTTGTATGAGTTTCAAGGAATACTGGTTATCCATGTCTCCATGACCTAGACGGCCAAACCATCCTGCGCCACAGGTGAATAACTCTCCGTTGCTTCCGATAACCGCCGTGTGCATGGCACCGCAACTCACCGACTTCATGCGGTTTTCGATTCGTACCTGCTTGGGAAAGCCCATGGAGCTCCGAATCATGCTCGAGCCGTGGCCGAGTTTGCCGCACTCGGCGTTGCCCCACGTGTAGAGCTCACCGCCGGGAGTGATCGCTGCAGAGTGATCCTCTCCAGCGGCCACCGCGCTCACTTTGGAAAGCGCTGCCACGAAGGTGGGCTCGCTCATGTCCTCGAGAACTGGCCCTACAGAGCCCTGGCTCTCAAACTCAGAGCTGGAATACTGACTTGACCGCATATAGACAGCCAGAACGCTCTCGGGGGTCTTGCTTCAAAACACGGCTCTTGCATTCCTTTGGGCTCAAAGCGCCTGTCTTCTTTCCTGCTTCCTTCCTCCCGCCCTCCCTGATCTGCCCCCATTCCCTTTATGTGCGCTCCCCGTTCACACGCAAATCGCTGTAGCTGGAAGCTGTAAGCAAAAACAAGGGTGAGATTCGGGCAATTCTTGATCAGGCTGCTTTTGCCGAGCTTGCCCATGTCTAGCCAAGCTTAACAAGCCATTAAAATGCGTGTTGCAATGGCTGGGACCATCATGTTTCCTTCCCAAACTCATCCCCCGGGCCTTGCTTGAACATCTCTCTACTCAGAAGACCATACCGACTGTAACAGGCACCCGGGCACCACGACCCTCATGGAACAAGACTGAGAGCTCCTGCCTTGGTCGTTCCAAGGCCCAGCTGTCCATGGTGGTTCCGGCCCCAGGCAAAGAGCTCCAAGTTCCTGGAGATCATGAGGCAATGCTCCAGGCCCAGGCCGATGGTGAGCACTTTGATCTTCGAGCCTGACAAAGGGTCCATGGCTGCGAGTAAGACCGGCTTCCAGAAGTCCTGACCCTCCGGCGAGGCATTCTGCCCATACTCTCCGGTACCCCAAAGCCAGCAGGAGCCATCTTTCTCCACAGCGGCGGAGTGCATGCCGCCACAGGCCAAGACTTCGATCTGGCTCTCCAAGCTCTGGCCCTTTTGGCCTTTCGGGGTCTCCGACGATGGCTTTCCATCCTCCCAAGACTGGGAGGCGGAGGGCCCCCGGGTCTCCTTCACCCAACCACGCAGATTGGAAATCTGCTCGGGTACTTTCCGATCGCTGATGTTCTGGCCGAGGCCAAGGCGTCCCATGCTCCCGGAGCCCCAGCTGAAGACGTCGCCAGTGCCACTCAAGGCCATGGAATGGAAACGCCCTGCAGCAATCTCGATGATTGCGTGACCTTTCAGGTTCTCCGCATCCAGTTCCCTGGCAGTCTCAATATCGTCACTCTCCCCGTGGCCTGTGTATAAATAGCCCCCCCAGCTCCAGATGGTGCCGCGGGCTGTGAGTGCCAGGCTATGACACACCCCTAAGGCCACTTGGCAGCAACTCTTCCCGATCATTGAGCTCACTTGCCGTGGATACATGTTGTCATCCTCCTCTCCATGGCCACAGCGGCCGAAAGAGCCCGCACCCCAGCACCAAACTTGGCCAATGAGGTCGATAGCAGCAGAGTGGGCCTCCCCAACGGCCAGAAACTTAAAGCGAGGTGCTGAGGCTCCACCCTTCTCGTTCTCAATTTGGAGAAGTGTGGGTTTCAGGGCTGCCTCACATGCCGGGCCATGACCCAAACGACCATGACCTCCGTGGCCCCAGGAGTAGAGTGCTCCGGTCCTGGCCAGTGCCATGGAATGCTTTGTGCCTGCTGCCACTTGGCAGCACTTCACGTCACTGGGCATGTGAACAAGCGCAGGTGTCCATTGATCGCAGATCATACCGGTGCCTAAATTCCCATAGCTTCCGATGCCCCAGGCATAGATTGCCCCGTTTTCTGTCAGGGCCAATGTGTAGTCTGTGCCGCAGCTTATGGACGTAATTCGATCTGTGCCGAAGTCCACGCGCAATGGCACGTTCAGGCCCCACTTACCATCGCCACTCGTGACTTGCTGCACGTAAGGTTTGTCGCTGAGAAGGGCAGCCTTTGCTTCGGCCGCGCACATAGAAGTCTGCAGCAAGTGGTCCAAGTCGAATTTCTTCTTTGGCCGCTCCACTCCCAAGCGACCGCCGTTTCCCAAACCCCAAATCCAGACATGACCGCCCTCCTCCCCAGGACGCTTCTGCAGAAGGGCGGAATGATTTCCCCCGCAGCTCACGGCGACGACTTCTCCTCCATCTCCACTCAGAAGGGACAAGTCCAAGAGCTGTGGCTCTGCAGTGAATCCAGAAGCATGTGCCAAGAGCCCGCTAGGGCCTCCAGTCCCGTCCCCTCCCTCGGCACCGTCGGCGAAGCTCAGCTTTTCTGCGGCCTGACCAGCAGGTGCAACGCCTGTAGTCGTGGCTTGGAGGAAGTTCCTCTTCGTCCCAAAACCATGGACTTGGGATTGGCGATCTCCATCCGTGGCAAGCTCCCGGTCGTTGCTGAGCACTAGGCTGTGGTAGAAGCCTGCCGCGAGGCGTGTGGGCTCAGCAAAGCCGACGCTCATCGCCGCTTTTCCCGCCGGTGCCGGAGCTTCTTTGAGCCACGGCTGCCGCTGCCAACAAGGATTGAGTATTGGAGGGGCCGAGCTGGGGTCTTCGGGTTGCACTCCCACCAGACACCTACGTCCCATAGTCACATGATCCAATTCTGAGCTGAGGATCCAGGTACTTCGGATTCTCGCATTCGGCGGGAGGCGGGAGGTGGTCGACCTTCTCAGCATTCCTCAGCGCCATGTTGTGGCGGACACGACCGGTCATTCAGAGTGTCATTCAGGGCTCGATACGGGAGTTTCCGAGAATTGGGGGTACCTTAGTTTGGACTCCTTATAATAAGGATCCTACTATTTAGGGTACTAGATTGGGTCCACTATCTTCGGAAACTCCCATACTGCTTGCAAGCGAGGCGCTCCCATAGACTACGCCTGACATAGAATTTTTTGCGCAAGCTCGCGATGGACACGGATGCTGCATGTCTGTGGCTGCAGCCCCCTACGCCGAACCCAAATCCTCTTGCTTGCCCAACCCCCACTGGAATCGAGAACCCTAACCTTGCTGTTGTCGAGACCATCTTTCAAATGCAGGGCGCATGTCGGAACAGGCTGAAGATTCTCCGCAGGACCGCTCGGGCCACCAACATCTTCGTATGAAACCTCGGTACGGCGTCGCTGAGGTTGAGACTCTGTTGATGTTGACCTTTGGTCAGCTTGTTGCCGCTGTCCGACCATATGCTATGCTGCGCATCCTCTGTGGTTTGCTGCATTTCTCAGGACTGAATGGACTGCTCCAGGCAACTTGCATCCACATGGTGTAGCGAGCTGGCCACCATGAGGCGAGGAGTCTCACCTAACACGGATCGTCGGAAGCCACTTACAGTGCGGGAAAAGGAGCTTGTGACATCGGCTTCTCATGAAGCTTCATTGCAACCTCTGCCTCTGTCTCTGCGGCATTTTATGCCGTTCGCCTCTGCGAAGTCATGGTTCTTACTACCACCTGCACAGCGACGCGGGTTCTGGAAGTGTGGTCGGATGTGGTCGGTCTCCTCCTCCTGCTCACTAGCAGACACTGTCAACCTTTCGCTTAAGTCGCAACCTCGGCAAGACAACACCAACCGTAACACCAAAAGTATATGTGTGTATATATATATATATATATCCGCTTGAGTGCCATCCATTTTCGGGGCTAGTCCACTCGGCAGTCAAAATGAACCAACAGCCCTTGTGGTATCTGATGAGCGTGCACTTTTCATTTATTGAGTTATTTATATACCCAACATGTCATTATGAAATGTATGTATGTATTGGACTGCCAGAGTCGCACACTGGCCTGTTCCTCGTGGCGGTCGAAAGCTAACTTTGGCTTGGACTGGGCTCGAACCAACAAGCCAAAAGGCCCGGCACTGCAAGCTCAGCGTGAAAACCGCTCAACGGGGAAAGCACTGTGCAAAGAAGCTGTTTACAAAACCCTACGGCGGCCCTGGCAGCTTTTTCTCGGTAAAGTGTGGTGCCGCGCTCTCGCCATTTCGAATATTTCGAGCGCGCGAGGAGGTTCCTTGGAGGGAATCTACACGAAGAGTTACGAGACTATGTGCTGACTGTCGTGCTGCCAGGGGCACACATTGATCAATAAGCGCAGTGGGAAATAGGCAATGACCTGGGCTACGGTAGCTAGGCAAAGCCACGTAGGCTTTCCAAATGCAGACTCGCGGCACTTTGAGGCCTCTTCCCTTTGAGAATTTTTTACTTTCCTTGACTGAGCCAGAGTTTGAGAACTCCGACGCTCAAACGGGCTCAAGTCTGTCCTCAGGGCCCTGCCACCTTTGTCATCTTTGTGCTTGCCTTCACCTTTACCCTCTCCTTTCTTCGGAGAGCTCTTCTTCTTCACCGTGAGCCGCGTGCCGTCTGTAAATGGGAAGCTGTTGAGGGATCGGATTGCCTGTGCAGCATCGCCGTTAGTCTAGGATCTGGAATCTGAACCATTTCAACGCTGAACCCACTCGGAAATGAGCCTTCTCTGCTGCCTCTGCAGTCATGTAGTTAATGAAGCCGATGCCTGTGCACTGCCCGGTGTCCTTGTCCAGAAGAGCTGTGGCCTTGAGAATTGAAAAGGACCAGCGCCCAATAAGCACAAGAACACATATGTGCACATAAACTGTTCTTTAGAAACAGATAGGCCGGTTGAGAGCTAAACGGATATGCCACCGCCTCTCGGGGGAATTATCGTGCCATGCCACTCCTCTTGGGGCAATGGGTCCGAAAGCGGAGAAGATCTGGTACATCTCTAGGTTTGTTGTGTCTGGAGGAAGTCCACCGACGAAGAGCCTCGGATGCGGACAAAGCCATCGGTGGATTCCAACAGTGCACGCAGCTGTGAGAAGCGATCGCTCCAAAATCATCGATGCCAAACGACGTGTTTTCATCGTTATTCCACTTGCCACCAGTCCCCGGGACGACCTGCAACGGGATGGGCACCCAGGCGTGTGCAGATCCAGGAAGTACGCAGAAACCAAGCCAACTAAACTCAAACTAAGCCCTAAATGGCGCAAAAATCTCGACCTAGACATGTCGTTTTGAAATTTGGAACCCTGAGAGCCCCGAGGCCCTGAGCCAGCCTGTGAGGAGACGATTGACCTGACGAGGCCCTTCGCCTCCTTGGGCGCTGGGTAGCCGCCCTTGCCGAAGCCCTTGAAGGGATCCATGGGGCCTTTGCCTTTGCTCATTTGGGAGTCTCCGAAAATAGGGGGCCCCAATATATATAGTAGCCTACAGAGTAGGATCCTCGTTATAGGGACCCCTAATTAAGGTACCCCCTAATTTTCGGAAACCCCGGTTTCGGTTTATAAGGTCTACGGCTTAGGGTGCAGCAACAATTAGGCATGTCAAAGACATGAAAGACAAGCAATGGCCAAGCCGCCATAGTCCATGTATCCCTTTCCAAAGAACATAGGACCACCCATCATGGGCATTGGGCCCATGGGCCCCATCGGGCCCATGTACATCATATCCCAATCCATTCCTTTGTACCAGCCCTTCATGGCGACTGGCAAGTTGCAGGGGTTGCTCTGCCTGCCAACCTACCTGTATCCATCAGCTTGGGCCGTGTACAAAGGCAGCAGATTGCTGGCACCGCAAGAAATTGTCAAGTGCTGCTCTCCAATGAAATCTGCCAAGTCCTCAGGCACTCCCCTTTTCGCACCTGTCTGCCCGGCCATACCTCCTTGAATCCTGGTAAAGGCATCAAATTTGACTAACATGGGTCAGGGAATTGGGATGTCATCTGATGCCTTCCTGTGCCAGCATCGCGCCGACACGCTGCTACGTGGCTGACAAATGGCGAAATAACATAGCAAGCTGGTATGCTGCAGGCGCAGCCGCGAGGTATGTTGACGCATTGAAAGCGTTCTGAAAGTATACACGATGGCAGACGGCACAGACATTCACAGATGCAAAGTCTGTGGCTAGCGTCCTCTGTCAAAGCGAGACAAGAACAGCGGCGTGTTATGCTGTGTCCATTCCGTGTAGCTGATGACAAGCCGGCTCAGGACTTTCATGATGGGTTACATGTCACAAGCATGCGGGACGGACTCTTAAACGGTTCAACGGTTGGCTTCCTCCAGACCGTAGCGAGTCCGAAAGAAGCTAACAGTCCGTTGATGTGGCCAGGGTGGCGTGATGGCATGAGATTTCACAGTTGCGTTTTTGTGTCTTCCTCCCTGGTGTTTCACGCTTCGGTCAAGGCAGTGCTCTTGCGTTTTCTGCCCGAACACACACATGCCATTCATAGTTTTCATCGCCTTCCAATTTCATAACTCAAGAGCCCAGCAATGTAGCGACAAAGCCTCTCAGAGAAGCCGCACAGGAATCCAGGTCCACCAGACCGACCAGACCTAAGCCAGGAAGTTGCAGCTTTCTTGAAAAGCCCTTTCCCAAAGCGTAGATCTCTGATAATAACCTACCTAAACTGCAGAAGAGGGTCTATGATTTGCTCCCCTTGCCCTTCTCTCCTTTGGAAGGCTTTCCGGATCCCTTCTCGTCACCTTTGCCCTCGCCCTTGCTCTTGGGAGGCCCTTTCTTCTTCACCGTCAGCCAGCTGCCGTCCTCAGTAGCGCTTGCAGAGTTTAAGAGCAAAACATGATTCTTTGTGCCTACGACTTCGCAACGACAGAGACCGCATGGCAGGCCTGTCAAGTCATGTGTTTGACGATGCAGGCTTCGATTCGAACGCTCGCTCGAAGCAAGCACGGATTCATGAGTAAGGGGCTTGACTTTGGTGCTCTTACAAGGCACCATTGCTAGACCCCAGACATTTCCAAAGTACCCCTGAGTTTACCGTGACATAGCCCAGGTCGGCAAGACTCATTACACCTACCAGCGCAGGCAAGGCTCAAGGAAAGGGAAACTATTCAGCACGCGAATCGCCCTTTCGGCGGCATCCTTCTCCATGAAGTTCACGAAGCCGATGCCTGTACACTTCCCGGTCTCCTCAACCATCACTGCGTGAGGTATTAACGACTCTCACATGTCTGCCTATCTCTGCTCGTCTAACTACTGCTACCACCCCTTTCACATTATGTACTCCATAAACACCCTGCTTCTACTTTCTTTCTCTTCTTTGGTATGGCTTGAGGGCGTGCATCCGGTGCGAGGTGAATGCCCCCTGTTGGAGGACCGCTCGAGCTTGGGCAGTTTGGCGGATCCGGGCCCGAATTCGCCCCGACTCTTCCTTCCTTTGCGTTGGGGCAAAAAGTCCGCGCATAACGACTCTCTCTCTCCCTCCTGGGCGTAGGGACCGGTCGAGGCAAGGCCCCCGGGCTTCAAGCCCACCCAATCATTGTCATTGGGGCTGAGGGGAGTGAAGGAGGAGTATATAGCTCATCTTTGGGCTGGAGCCTTGTAGTATGCGATAACGATGTACAGAGTTGCATATTTACTCTCAAGGGCAATGAATGAGAGCTGACGGCATGGATTCAAGTCTTCGGTATAAAACCCACAAGAATAATGCATTCAACTGGTTTTCCTGGACTCTCTCTCTCTCTCTCCATCTCCGTCGTCGGCAGGCCGTACCGACTGATCTGCCGATTCCTGCGATCGCGCCACACTGGCAGTTTCTTCTGCCCACAGAAGCATCTCCAACGCGACTCTTCCATGGCGATCACCAACATGACCATCAGAATCAGCACCATCACTATGAGGTTTCCAGTTCTTCAGGGTGTACGCAGGAGTGTATAAGTATACTATGCCCTTATCCTCTTCTTCCCTGTCCTTGTCAAGGAGAGCAGTTGCCCCCCTCGGTGCGATTGGGCCAAAGGGTGCGAAGATCTGATACATCTCCAGATTCGTCATGTCCTCTGGAAGGCCTCACATCTTTCCCGGATTTCGCAAGTAACCAATGTAAGGGGTGCCCTCATCTAGACCGAATAAGGCACCCCGACTGCAAGAAACCCCCGCAGAGGTGAGGAGTGGGCACTGACCTCATCAACTGAAGGCCCAAAGGCTACAAAGCCCAGCCTCCAACGAAAAGGGTGTTGTCATCGTTGTTCCACTTCCCTCCAGGGATGGCCTCACGGCGTGAAACAGTGGCTCCAGCACACCTTGAGCATCCTTGAGCCGCAAACCTCCTGCTAGAAATCAAATTCCTACTTTCTCCCCACTGATGAAACATTAAGCCTTAAACCTATCAGCAAAGAAACCCTACGCAAGCGCAAGCCCCGGAATCCCCAGACATGCCGCCCAGGCCTCATTGGAGAGGAGAGTTCTCAACAATCCTTTGGCCTCTTTGGGAGCCTGCGGAGCTTGCGGCTCCTGCTTTCCGTAGCCTTTACCTCGGAAAGGCGTGTGCACATGAGAAGCATGGGGCGAAGATAAATCGGCTCAGGGCTTACTATAGGCTTTTTCGGGAGACGGTCAGTGCTGTCCTTTGACGCATATACAACTCGTTTAAGCATCATCCTCTTGAATGTGGATCGCGTGGTGACTCTGGTGCCTAACTTGGGAGCAGACCGTAGTCCCCTCCGCCTTTGACCATGAGATCCATTGGCGGTGCCCCCCAGCCGCCCTTGCCTCGGAGACTACGCATTGGCGCTCGCCGCTCGGGTCCAGGAGTCTTCCAAGAGCACCCTGAGCACCGCTGCAGCCTTTTTGGATCGTTTTGGTCTCCAGCGAATGCTCAGCCGTCGGTCAGGAAATGGCCCGCGCTCTGCAGCATCGCCAGCAGCCGCAGCAGCGCCGGGCTTGCTCGAGCGATGCGGAAACGCTGGAAGACCGTCCTAGACCGAAATCACACAAGGAACCCTCTGTAGCAGACCAGTACCTGCTTTCCTCCTTTCTGCCGCCGAGGCTCTTAACGAGAGCCATGTCTTTCTCACGTCCGGTGGCGACGCAGACAAGGACCAGGCGATGAAGCAAACGAGCCAGCTCCGGCTCTGAGCCGTCCTCACAACTCTCCTACAGCGTCCCTTCTTCAGATTTGAGCTGGGCGAAAAACCCGGGCCCAAGCCTCCGGTGGCGGCTGGGCGGCGGTCCTGAGGCTCAGAGGAGGGGGTTTGAGCAAGGCTGGGCAGACCCCCAAGCAAGAATGGAGATGCCGAGGGTGCCGCAGCCGCGGAACCTCTGATGGCTCATCGCCGACGAGCTTCCAGAGGGCCTGCAAGAGAGCCTTTGCGGGAAGGACCACTTTCATGGACTGTTTCTGTGGGAGAGCATGGGAATGCCTCGAAGCTGTGGTGATAGCTTTGAAGACCCTTGCGGTCGTCGGTCCTCTCTGACTCGCATCGCCGCCCGACAGTCTGAAGCTCTCAAGGATTGCCTCTCGTGCGAGGTGTGGATGGCGTCGATGGTCGTGTGAGCGACATGTAGTGCCTCTTCCCGGCACAGCTGATGCAGCACTACACCTTCTGGGAAAGACTCAAACACCTCCAAGCCATGCTTTTCCAACGCAGCCACCGAGCTTTTCAGCGCACCTGACCACAGCGTGAATGCAAACAACACAAGCCACGCAAGCAACGCCTAATTGCTACAAGGTGTCACAGTCAAGCTGGCCTTTCAGGAGGGCTTTGGCAGCAGCAAACTCTTGAAGGCTGATCCTAGGAAAAGCAAGAACCAAAGCTGGCCCTGAAGAAAAACAGGTAACCAGTTTCTGTTACTTTGACTTCGTCACTCGTTAGGATTCTAATACACTGTATATTGGTTCAGTACCCGATTACCCCCCTGCGTGTGGAAGTGAGCCTCAGTCCTGAGTGAGGCCTCTGTCGATGCCACGGAGGCTTCAAAGATCTCTGGCTTCTCTAACGGCAGCTCCTGATTCATGGGTTGCAATCAGAAACAAGCTGAACAGTCCTCGAGGATCTCAAAGCTTCAGCTGAACCTGTTCAGTAAAGGATCTCCTCTTTCGCTCCCTCTGTCTCTCTCTCAGGGCTTTGGGAGCTGGCCAGGCTTCGCTGCACCGGGCTCTGTCGGGGAGACTGAAAAAGCTAGTACGTTTCATCGGGAACGGGCACGCTTAAGTCCATGTTCGCCGGAGACGAACTAAAATGACTGCAGATCCAACAACGGGGAGGCAAAGACTACCGGCACCTAAGAAATCACCAAGCGTGAAGGATAAATGACGGTGTCTGAATACAGTGTCCGGCAAATAATAGCTTGGTAAACTGGTAAACCTGAAAAAATTGCTTGCGATGCTTCGACTCGACAGCAGGACCTCTAGTTGGACAGCTGAATGGATTTTCTTGGCACGACAGCTGCTCCGCATTGCATGTTCCACGTCTTCCGCAGGTGAAGCATAGCGAAATGAGTTGGCTACGCAAGTTGTCCCCCTCAACCTTACTTACAGGATGGTGCTTCCGCCAAGCGTGAGTGCATGTTACATCCCCCTGTTGCTTTGCCGCAGGTTGCAACGCTTTCTCTGCGCCGGCGGAGTGATGGACTTGCTCCCCACGGGTTGGTGTGGACGTACGGATACGTTGAAAATGTAACGATGCATCGGCAAGTTTGCCAGGTAAGGCTGTTGAAGGATCCCTCACGTAGTTTAAGCATAGGC